TTTTTTTTTTTTTAAAAAAAAAAAAATGGCACATCCACTTTCAGAAGAAGTACGAGCCGATGAGAAAAGAGAAAAAAGACTTAACTCTTTAGAACTAAGGACAATAGAAGTAGAAAATACGTTATTAAGAACCTCAAAAGCAGCGTTAGAAAAACGTGTTGCAGAACTTGAGGCTTCTTTAAAAGAGTCAAATGAGGAATGTAACAAGTTGAAACAAACCATAGCACATATAAGTGTGAAAAGTCCTGAAAAGGAAGTTTCCTCTTTAAAGAACATAGAGAAAGATGAAAAAGTTTTAAATAATACCACCAATGAAGATATATCGGATGATATATCGGATGTAATATCGAATATAAACAAAGAAGAAGAAATTATATACGAACGTATCTTAAAACTTGTCGAAAATATGAAATCTGATTGCCAAAAAGCGATAAATATGAAGATTCCAACAGAATCTCAATTACCAATGAGACCGATGAGACAAAGTGCAAAATCTATCTCATCAAAATCACCTAGTCCAACTGATGGTCTCATATCACCTTCAAAAACGATCAGTAGACCATGGACGCCAGTTTCTATTCCAACTTCAAGAAATGTAACCCCTTCAGGAGCGATTTCACCACCAAATTCATTGTCAAGTCACATTCCAACAAAGAATCCTACTTCACCAAAAGCTTCTCATTTACCCTCTAGATCTAATACTCCTTCAGGAAATCATTATCAATCAAATTCTGTTAATTCAATTCAAAATAATTCTTTAGCATCATCACTAAATAAAAAACAAAGACCAAGAACAGGAAGTTGTTGCTCTAATATCCCTTCTCGACCCCACACACCTCCACCAGCAAATATTCATCCAACTATTACAACCGGTATTCCTTCCGGTCTTTCATCTGGAATTCCATCCAAGTTACAACAATGTCGTCGAACAGTTACTTGTTAATTTGGTAAGAATTCTTTAATATTTTATTTTTTTTAAAAAAAAAATTCTTTTTTTAATATAAAGGATTCTTACTTATTAAAAAATTTTTCTTTTTTTTTAAAAAATATTATTAGGCGATTGTAAATATAATTAATCTGATCATCATCAAATCCAAAAAAAAAAAAAAAA